TGGACAGTATGAAAAGGCAAAAAGATAGGACACTGAAAGATAAACTCCCCAGGTCGGTAGGTGCCCGATATTGGAGATCAGTGGAGAAATAACTCCAGAAAGAATGAAGGGATGGAGCCAAAGCAAAAACAACACCCAGTTGTGGATGGGACTGGTGATAGAAGCAAGGTTCGATGCTGTAAAAAGCAATATTGCATAGGAACCTGGAATGTTAGGTCCATGAATTAAGGCAAATTCAAACAGGAGATGACAAGAGTGAACATCAACATTCTAGGAATCAGCGAACTAAGATGGACTGGCATGGGTGAATTTAACTCAGATAACCATTATATCTACTACTATGGGCAGAAATCCCTTAGAAGAAATGGAGTAGCCATCATAGGCAACAAAAGAGTCCGAAATGCAGTACTTGGATGCAGTCTCAAAAACGACAGAATGATCTCTGTTCGTTTCCAAGGCAGACCATACGCTCAGCTATAAAATGAGGTTCAATAAATTTAAAAGGACCAAAATCAGAGAATATTTGACAACAATAGAATTAAACCCAATAAGAATACAATATCTAGGAAACCCCCAAATATTTTGGAATTAAATAACACTTTTCTAAATAACCAGCAGATCAAAGAGTCACAAGAACTGCATGATAATGAAAATACATCAACGTCTACAAGATGCAACTAAAACAGTCCCTAGAGGGAAAAGTATAGCTTTAAATGCTTAAATAGAAAAGAAGACAAGAATATAATCAAGGACCTAATGTTACAGGGTAAGAGGCTAAAAAAGAAGTGCAAAGTGAAGTGAAGTGGAAGGAAAGCAATCATAAAAGGGCAGAAATTAACAAAGTAGAAAACAACAGAGAAAATTAACAGGTCGAAAGTTGGTTTTTTGGAAGATGAACAAAAGTAAGACTGACCACAAAAAAGAGAGAGGGTACAAATCGCCAATGCTAGAAATTCGAAAGAGGACTTCCCTCGTGGTCCAGAGGTTACGAACCCGCCTCCCAATGCAAGGGATGCAGGCTCAGTCCCCAGTCAGGAAACTAACTTCCCACATGCCTCAGGGCAACCAGGCCCACACACTGCAAGCGGAGAGCCCGCGCCGCAGCCACAATGAGAGGAAGAAGTCCACACACCGCAACAACGATCTCGAGTGCCACGACTAAGACCCAACCCAGCCAAATTAATTAATAATAAAAGGGATTATCACCAGACAACTTTATCACCAACAAGCTCAACAACTTAAATGAAATGGGCAAATTCCTTGAAAAATGAAACTTACCAAAATTAACACAGAATGAAATAGAAAATCTAAATACTCCACTCTTTACTCCAGCCGCAGATGTTTTCATTGGTGAATTATATTGATGGCAAGAGTAAACATTGACATTTTAGGAATCAATGAACTAAAATGGACCAGAATGGGTGAATTTAACTCAGATGACCATTATATCTACCACTGTGGGCAACAATCCCTTAGAAGAAATGGAGTAGCCCTCATAGTCAACAAGAGTCCGAAATGCAGTACTTGGGTGCAATCTCAAAAATAACAGAATGCTCTCTGTTCATTTCCAAGGCAAACCATTCAATATCACAGTAATCCAAGTCTATGCCTCAACCACTAGTGCCAAAGAAGCTGAAGTTGAATGGTTCTGTGAGGACCGACAAGACCTTCTAGACCTAAGACCCAAAAAAAAAAAAAAAAAAAAAAATGTCTTTTTCATCACAGATGACTGGAATGCAAAAGTAGGAAGTCAAGAAACACCTGGAGTAACAGGCAAATTTGGCCTTGGAGTACATAAGCAGGACAAAGGCTAACAGAGTTTTGCCAAGAGAATGCACTGGTCAGAGCAAACACCCTCTTCCAACAACACAAGAGAAGACTCTACACATGGACATCACCAGACAGTCGGTACTGAAATCAGATTGATTATATTCTTTGCAGCCAAAGATGAGAAGCTCTATAAAGTCAGCAAAAACAAGACCAGGAGCTGACTGTGGCTCAGATTATGAACTCATTATTGCAAAATTCAGATTTAAATTGAAGAAAGTAAGGAAAACCACTAGACCATTCAGATATGACCTAAATCAAATCCCTTACGATTATACAGTGAAAGTGAGAAATAGATTTAAGGGATTAGATCTGCCAGATAGTACCTGAAGAACTATGCACAGAGGTTCTTGACATTATACAAGAGGCAGTGATCAAGACCATCCCCAAGAAAAAAAAAATGCAAAAAGGCAAAATGGTTGTCTGAGGAGGTCATACAAATAGCTGAGAAAAGAAGAGAAGCTAAGGGCAAAGGAGAAAAGGAAAGATATACCCATCTGAATGCAGAGTTCCAAAGAATAGCAAGGAGAGATAAGAAAGCCTTCCTCAGTGATCAGTGCAAAGAAATAGAGGAAAACACTAGAATGGGAAAGACTAGAGATCTCTTCAATAAAGTTGGAAATACCAAAGGAACATTTCAGGCAAACATGAGCACAGTAAAGGACAGAAATGATATGGACCTAACAGAGGCAGAAGATATTAAGAAAAGGTGGCAAGAATACACAGAACTATACAAAAAAGATCTTCATGACCCAGATAACCATGATGGCATGATCATTCACCTAGAGCCAGACATCCTGCAGTGTGAAGTCAGGTGGGCCTTAGGAAGCATCACTACGAACAAAGCTAATGGAGGTGATGGAATTCCAGATAAGCTGTTTCAAGTCCTAAAAGATGATCCTGTGAAAGTGTTGCACTCAATATGCCAGCAAATTTGGAAAACTCAGCAGTGGCCACGGGACTGGAAAAGGTCAGTTTTCATTCCAATCCCAAAGAAAGCCAATGCCAAAGAATGTTCAAACTACCATACAATTGGACTCATCTCACACTAGCAAAATAATGCTCAAAATTCTCCAAGCGAGGCTTCAACAGTACGTGAACTTCCAGATGTTCAAGCGGGATTTACAAAAGGCCACAGGAACCAGAGATCAAACTGCCAACATCTGCTGGATCATAGAAAAACCAAGAGAGTTCCAGAAAAACATCTACTTCTGCTTTATTGACTGCACCAAAGCCTTTGACTGTGTGGATCACAACAAACTGTGGAAAATACTTACAGAGATGGGAATACCAGACCATGTTACCTGCCTCCTGAGAAATCTGTATGCAGGTCAGGAAGCAACAGTTAGAACCAGATGTGCAACAACGGACTGGTTCCAAATTGGGAAAGGAGTACATCAAGGCTGTATATTGTAACCTTGCTTATTTAACCTATATGCAGAGTACATCATGCAAAATACCAGGCTGGATGAAGCACAGGCTAGAATCAAGATTGCCAGGAGAAACATCAATAACTCCAGATATGCAAATGACACCACCCTTTTGCCAGAAAGCAAAGAAGAACTAAAGAGCTCTTGATGAAAGTGAACGAGGAGAGTGAAAAAGCTGGCTTAAAACTCAACACTCAAAAAACTAAGATTATAGCATCCTGTCCCATCACTTTGTGGCAAATAGATGAGGAAACAATGGAAATTATAAGAGACTTTATTTTCTTGGGCTCCAGAATCACTGTAGATGGTAACTGCAGCCATGAAATTAAAAGACACTTGCTCCTTGAAAGAAAAGCTATGACAAACCAAGACAGCATACCAAAAAGCAGAGACATTACTTTGCTGACAAAGGTTCATCTAGTCAAAGCTGTGGTTTTTCCAGCAGTCATGTATGGATGTGAGAGTTAGACTACAAAGAAAGCTGAGTGCTGAAGAATTGATGCTTTTGAACTGTGATGTTGGAGAAGACTCTTGAGAGTCCCTTGGATTGCAAGGAGATCCAATCAGTCCATCCTAAAGGAGACCAGTCCTGGGTGTTCATTGGAAGGACTGATGCTGAAGCTGAAGCTCTAATACTTTGGCCACCTGATGTGAAGAACCAACTCATTGGAAAAGACTCTGATGTTGGGAAAGATTGAAGGCAGGAGGAGAAGGGGACGACAGAGGATGAAATGGTTGGATGGCATCACCGACATGAGTGATGTGGACATCACATCATATGGACATGAGCTTGAGCAAGTTCCGGGAGTTGGTGATGGAGAGGGAAGCCTGGCATGCTGCAGTCCATGGGGTTGCAAAGAGTCGCACACGACCAAGCGACTAAACTGAACTGATCAAACATTGAAAGGAGAAATACCAAATTTATACAAACTCTTTCATAAAATAGAGGATAAAGGGAACACTTCTTGTTGCCAGAAGGCAGGGTGGCATAATCTCCATACAAAACCCTCATACGGACATTGCAAAACAGGAGAGAAAATTACAAACCAGTGTCTCTCATAAAGGGCCTCCCAGGTAGCACCAGTGATCAAGAAGCTGCCTCTCAATGCAGGAGATATAAGAGATGGGGGTTCAATCTCTGTGTTGGGAAGATCCCCTGGAGAAAGAAGTGGCAACCCACTCCAGTATTCTTGCCTGAGAATCCCATGAACAGAGCAACCTGGTGAGCTATAGTCCATGGGGTCGCAAAGAATTAGACACAACTGAAGCGACTTAGCATGCACACACATATCTCATGAATACATAAACACAAAAACTCTTACTAGCAAATAGAATCCAATAACATATAAAGTAGGCCTTGGAGGTTTATCCCAGGAGTATATGACTATTTTAACCTTTGAAGCCATTGTAATTTACCTTATTAAAGGAAGAAAGGAGAACCTTTAAAACATGATCAATCTATCAACCATACCTGATGACTAGGTCAGAAAAGAGAATAAAGGGAATCTCCCTAGATCTGGCATAAGAAAAACATACACTAACATCACACTTAATAATATTGACACAGATATTGACACTTCCCCACTAAGATTGGGAACAAAGCAGGGATGTCCATTCTCCCCATTTTTATTCAACATTATCCTGAAGGCCCTGGCATTGTAATTAGGAAACAAATAATGAAATGAAGCGATTGAGGAGGGAGAAGTGAAATCATCTATCTGGCAGATGTCATGTTCATTCACATCACAGAACGTTCTCTCTGGCCGACTTGAGCAACAGAGCCTGGAAGGCCGAGCTCCACGGCTGGGGCTTGCCAAGAGGCTGAAGCTGGGTCCAGGCAGGAAGCTTCGGGGCAGAATAAAGTCAGGGCCAGGAATGGAGCACCTTGACCACAGCGGGGAGGAGGGGGCCCCAGGCCCCTGTATCCTCTCCCAGGGAGAACAGAACAGGGGACACCTGGAGGGAAAAGGGCAGTGCCTTGCAGGGAGGAGCCGCACCTCTGCCCAGAGGCCTTCACACGGCAGCAGCGGGGACCACCCGCTCAGGAAGCCAAAGGCATCACGTTTGCCAGCTAAGCTGAGAAGCCAGGATGCGGGGCGGGGGGGAGTGGAGAAAGCACCAGGGGCTCGCCCAAGACACAGAGCAGGCTAGACAGTCAGCAGCTGGGGCCCCTGGGCCTACGGGTTAGGAGTTGGGGAGTGCAGGACAGACCCAGCCCAGAGAGCTGTGAGACTGAATCAAACGGCCCAGTGGTCCTACCTCCACCTCCTGACACACACACACCTGTTCCCGTGTGTGGTTCCCATCTTTGGACGCCCTGTTCCCCTGTAAGTGTCCTCTCAACTCGGGGAGTTGAAAAAACAGTGGCAGATGCTAAGGCTAATTTGGGAGCCAGGACATAACTTCAAGGAAGCTCTGGAAATGGGGATGGGCAAGGGTGGTAGGCTGAGGCTGGGACTTGGGGTGTCTGAGGAATATGGGCCACCCTCCCCAGGGGGTCAGAGGTGAAGATACAGCTCCCGGGGGAGGTGAGAGTCAGGGTCGGGTAAGCCCCATGGAGAGTGGAGATCTCAGGGCACACTCGTGGGCCTTGGGCTGCCCCCGTCTGGCCTTCCTCCCAGGGACCTTCCCCAGTCCCCTCCAGCCATAGCACAAGGTCATTGCCTGCAGGTTTCTCCACGGCTTGGACTCATCCCGCCCAGAATGATTTGAGCCAGTGGGAGCCACAATTTGCACTGTGTGCATCCAAAAGACCCTTCAGCTGAACGGACTTGTGGACATAGTGGCCAGGGGAAGAGGGTGGATTGAACTGACAGAGTAGCAGTGACATATACACACTGCCATGTGCAAAGCAGATAGCTAGTGGGAAGCTGCTGGCTAGCACAGGAAGCCCAGCTCCGTGCTCTGTGATGACCTTCATGTTGGTGTACAGCAGAAACTAATACTACACTGCACAGCGATTGGACCTAAATTAAAAAATAAAGTAAAAAAAAACACCTCTCAGCCAGGGCTCAAGATGGGGAGCTGGGGGTCAAGGGCCTTGGGTGAGCTGCCTTTGAGACAGCTTGTCTGCCCGAAAGGAGCAGGTCACTGTGATCCTGCTATTCTCATTTCTGTGCAGGTCCCAGAGTGGTGAAACACTTCGAGCAAGAAGAGGGGGGTGCAGGGACCCCCAGGCATGACATGGAGGAGAGACCTAGAAGTGAGGCTCCCAGGGTCAGGGACCCCAGATTGTAGGCTGGGGGGGGGGGGGCTGGGCTTTGCACAGGACTCTGGATGCTGCCATCTGACAAATGGTCAGGACTCTATCAATCCAGGAAACAGCCCAAATAAGGCTCAAAAGGCATGAAACTGGGGTCCCACGCAGCCCACTGCTGTCTACAGAGGCCTCCAGGTTGCGGAATGGGGGGCAGGGAGTCACACATGGGTCTCGGGCCTCTCCACCCTCCCCACATTTCCTCAGGCAAAGGCTGAAAGGCCCCATCACCAAGCACATGGATGGCACATTCAGCTATTAACACTTTAGTAAGAATTAGCTTCTCAGACAAGCCAGTTCCCAGCTGGGCTCTGAAACAGCCCAAAAGAGAAGTCAGGACTGAGGTGGCTTGAGAAATGGTCTTAAATATGCCAGGGGTTCTCTCATACCCCCTCCATAAATAACTGTCCCATCAGCACCTCTCTGGTGCTGAAATTTTTCACTGGGGCTAGGAACGCTCTCCAGCATCTTCTCCAGCAGCTCTGGATATAAGCGCCAGCTCCACCACCTGGAGGCTGTGCAACTCCAGCAAAGCAATTACCATCTCTGAGCCCTCTTAAGACTCTAGCCAGCAGGGCCCCATCCCAGGCCTCAGGTCTCAGGGGGAGGCAAGCATTACGGAACTTCCCACAAAAACATCCAGGTGCCCCCTGTGATGTCTGGGACAAGCCAGGGCTGGCAGTGCCATCCAGGCCGGTGCCCCAAGCCCAGATTGAGACTTTTGGGAGCCCTTGTTCCCATTTGGAGCACCCTCCAACCCTCCACCCAACTGCCATGCCATGTGGGGGTAGACAAGATGCCCCAGTGGGCCCTGGGCATGTCATCTAAGAGGTATTCTAGGGCTATGGCCAGGCCCCTGTCTAGGAGGGAAGCCTGACAAGTTGATCACTTCTAGCGGCAGCATACTCTTTCTTTCGTGAGCTCACCTGAAACTAGGCCATCAAAATGGTGTGGACAGTCTCCTTTGGGATCATGCTCATTTACACCCAACACAAGGAAGAGTTCGAGGCCCAGCTTCCACAGTGGGAGCCCAGGTGTTGGTCCTTCCTCTCGGCTCCAGCCTTGTCGTGTGAGAAGGGTGGAAGGGTAGCAGGCATCTAACCTGGGCCACCTGTGCTGACAACCGCTCTGTCCACAGGCCCCACACCACATGCCACCATCTGCGGTGGATGGCCACGCCACCCTCCACCAAGGACCTCAGAGACCAGTGCCCACAAGGCCACCAGGCCCCTCCCACCCATGTCTACTCCCGCCCCAGTCTGAGTTGTGACATTATGCTCCCGAGGTCTGCCTCAGGCTGTGTGGAGGAGGGTTCAACATGCACTGCATGTATAGTACGTCTCTTCTCATGCACCCACCGGCCCCCACCCACCCTGGGACGTGGGAGGGCGCAGAAAGAGGACGCAGTCCAGGACCGCAGCAGCCATGCGCGCTTTGAGGAGGCGTTTACACTGTGCTTTGGCTGCAGAGTTCCCAATGGTGAAATTAACGTGCCCAGAAGACAGGCTATTATTTCCCATTTTCCTGCCCTGTGTGGTAATGACTTGCGTTTGGGGTCACCACCAAGCAAGAGAAGCAGCAACCTCTGGGAGAATGGGGAAGGCCCATCCTCACCGGGTCACGTGGGGGGTGGGGGGCGTGAAGGACCCAGCACCCCTGGGGTCACCGTCAGCAGTAAGCAGACAGCGTCAGGGACCCGGAGGCGAGGTGGGCTGTCAGTTCCAAAGCAAGCAGGTTCCAGGGAGTCCTGGCAGCATTGCTACCTTTTTCTCCAGGTGGGAAGCGGGAAACCTGGAATTCTTACCTGGCCCAGCACGGTTGGCGGTGAAGACACGAGAGACAGGGGATTCCTGTACCTGAGTGGGAAGACGTGGGACCTCCACCCCAAGAGGCGTCTTCACTTAAGTGAAAGGAAAGACGTCTTCTGGCCCGGTGACTAAACCGCTCACGGGCCCGGAAGCCCTTTACTCAAATCGCTGGTCTAGTCAGAGGCCCCACAAAACGTGTTTTCCCAAAGTCCTGCCCACACTTTGTACAGCCCTGCTCCCCTCATCCGTTAAGTGGGGGAGCAACACGCTGTCTTCCTGTTGTGAGGTCTGAGAAAGCAGGAAGAACAGGATATTTGGTGAAAAAGGCACTCAACATGTCTGATGGATGCTGTTCCTCCAGCTTTCCTGCACCTTAGGCCCTGGGGGCAAGGGACAGCTTCAAAGCCAATCAGAAACCCTCACACTTCCTCCAGCCAATCAGGAGGCCCTCACCCTCCCCCAGCGAATCAGGAGACTCTCACCCTCCCTTCAGCCAATCAGGAGAATCTCATGCTCCCTCCAGCCAATCAGGAGAATCTCACTCTCCTTCCAGCCAATCAGGAGACTGTCACTCTCCCTCCAGCCAATCAAGTGACTGCCCCACTTGCTACCTCCACAACTTTGCACCTGCAGTTTTCTGTTCCTGGAACGCCCTTCCTCCTTCACTGCTCGGCCCATTCTGTTGCTTTCTCAAGGCCTGGCTCAGCCATGTCCTCCTCTGGGAAGCTCTGTGTCACCCAGGGCAGAAGGGAAGAGCACTGGCCATCTTGGACTCTCAAAGCCCAGCCACACCCCATCCTGCAGGTGGGCATCCGAGGCACTGTCTTAGCCCAAACTTTGAGGCTGGACCTGGAGCCAGAGACCCTTGGCTGCGAGCTGGTGGGCCCATTCCCTACCCCTTCGGGACCCCAGCATTCTCATGGGCACAGAGGTGTAAGACCTCTGTCCCCATTCTTTGAGAGAGTCATGGGAGTGGATGGACAGCCTGTCTACTTCTGAGGACAGGGCATTCAGCCATTTGTATTATTCTTTCTCTCACCCTGCTCTGTGCCAGCCCTGACCAGGCTTAAAAGAATCAGACACCACCCTGGGGTTGCTCCTGAAATGAAAATCAACCAGACATTGACATGAAGCGTGAAAAATGCTGGGGCCTCCGCAGAGGGCCTCAGTCAACCAGGGAGGGCTTCCAGGAAGAAGTGACACCTAAGCTCTGTGTTCTTATAAATTAATATTTATTTGGCACACGTGCCAGACACTGTACTACCCAAGCCAGGTGCATCACCCATTTGATGCCTCCCAGCACCTGTGAGGCAGGTACATTCATTTTACAGATGAGGGAGCTAAGGTTTGGGGAAGATGTCCCTTGCCCTGGCCACCCAGATGGTACACTCAGAGCCAGGTAGAAGGTGCGTGTGGGGAGGTATGGGGGTGCAGTTCCTGGTGGAGGGGACAGAGGGAACAGCAGTGTTGGACACAAGGAGAGTCTGGGTGTTGGTGGGGTGGGGGGGTGGGGGGGGGGACTCTAGGAAGTTTGGCCAGAGCATAAATGGGCGACCAAGAGTGGTGAGAGCAGCAATAGGAGAAGGGGCAGGGGCCTTGGGGGCCTGTCTGCTCACGGGCAGCAGGGAGTCATAGATGGTGCTAGGCAGGGAGGCATCTGGTCAAATGGGTGACTTAGAAAGACAGCTCTGGGGCGAGAGGGCCATCACTCAGAAGAAGGAGTGAAGTGGACGTGAGAACAAGATTCAAATAGCCCAGGGGTCACTCTTGGCTCTCAGAGC